CTGGGCTCTTCAGACTGCCACAGACCCTACCATTCCCTATCATGGCCCTAAAACTTCTAATAACTGCAGTACTGACTTCTGACAGTGTGATTAAGAGGACAGTGAGACACACGTCTGACTCTGTCAATGCTTTTGCTCTTTTATTCACTGGTGTCACCTATTCAGCCTATGCAGACACAGGTTTACAACTTCCACCTGGAAAAGTTCTGCTCCAGGATGGCCACAGCAGCCACTGGGAAGTTTTCTGTAGTTGTAGGTCAGGCATGCTCTTCTCTAAAAAGGAATTCCTCCAATATAGAAACCTAGTCTCCTGGAGGCCAATGCTAGCCCATAAATAGGTTTTGTTTAGCATGGATAATATTTATTGTTCTTTTTCTGTGGTTTTTTAAAAATTATTTTTTATTTTTAATTAAGTGTATATGTGTGCATCTGTGTGTGGGTATGTGCATGTGCACGAAGTGCCCACAGAAGCCAGAGACATCAGATCCCCTAGAGCTGGAGTTACAGGTGGTTGTGAGCTGCCTGGCGTGCTTTCTGGGAACTGAGCTCAGGTTCTCTGGAAGAATAGTATGTACTTTTAACCACTGAGCCATCTCTCCAGTCCTATCATTGTTTTTTAATATAAAGAAATGTCATTTAAAAGTTACCCAATTTGCCAGTTATCTGTGGCCTTAAATCCAAATAAGCATCAATTACCTGCTATTGCCTTTTAAGAGAAATGCATGTACAACCTCCGGCCTGAAAGTATTAGGGGAAGTTAAGCCAGCAAAGTAAAGAATACTCTGACAAATAATTTGTGTTGTGTGTGTATATATGTGTGTGGTAGTGTACACACGTGTGCATGTGTGCACATGCCTGTGGAGGCCAGAGATCGACATCGGTGTCTTCCTCAATCACTGCCCACCTTTCTTTTGGGGAGTCTCTCACTGAACCTGGAGCACACTGATTCAGCTAGAACTGGCTGGCCAACAAATCCCAAAAATTTTCCTGTTTCCACCTGTCTGGCTCTGGGAATACAGGCCTGCACCACTAGAGCCATGCTGGAAATTGAACTCAGGTTGGCCAAGTACTTAACTGCCTGAACCATTTTTCGGGCCACATAATATCATGTCTGACTTCCAAAGCCAGGTCTGGCCTGGTGAGACTGCTGCCTGCTGGACCTCCTGCTCCCAGGAGCAATGGCAAGGTAACACGGCCTTCCCCTGTCACTCTCCCTCCATGGCTTATTATAAGTCCCAAGGTGGAACTCACTCAGTGACGGTGTCTTGGAACCAGACCCAGAGCTCTGCACCTGATGGAGCCTGCAGGAAAGGTGGCCCCCAGTACCGGGTCCTCCAAAAGCCTTGAGTGAATGACAGGTGCAGCTCCTGCAGAGAGTACTTGGAGATCAACTGCCCCAGGGCTTTGGGGAAGAGCCTGTAATGAGACACTAGAGAAACGCAGACAGGTGAGAGGGGACCCGCGGAGGCTAGAACCCCACCCAGGGATCAGGCCACGCCCCCAGGGAGTGCTCCCTCCACCATCTCAGCAAGGTGCCATAGCAAATCCTTCTCCAGTCTGATCTCACCCTCACCTTCCCGCTGCAACTCCGAATCCCAGCGCGTGCGGAACTGGAACGTGGCGGCCACGTCGCCGGAAGGCAGCGGAGTGATAACCAGTTCCTCTCGCAGGCTGTCCCGCGGGCGCTCGGCACGGCCCCAGCACCAGGGAGCCACGAGAAACAGCAAGAGCGCAGCGAGCGGCATGGCCACCGCCATGCCTGCTGCCGCTTCCGGCTCCCATGGGCATCTTGCGCCCACCAGAAGTCGGCATCCAATAGGAAGAGATTGTGAGGCGGGACTTCCGGCGCCCTCCCGGAAAGCAGAGTGCGGTTACCTAGGGGACTGTGCCACCAGCCCGCAGGGGTCCTTAAGGCTGCTCGCAGGACGCGGAGGGGCGTGGGCGTGGGGCGGGGGAGCGGGCGACTTGAGAACCCACACGTGCGAGGGTGGCGGTACTGCCATTTCATGGTTTGTGAGGTCACACAGCTGGGCTCACGTCGGGATCCTCCTGCCTCGGCCTAGTGGGCTGGGATTACAGG